ATGGCACTCTATATAGGCCATCTCAACATATTTCAAAAATATAAAATTATACTAAGGACACTGTGAAATTAAGACACAGCAACCACAAAATAGTAGTACAGTAGAGGGATGGTTCTACTATGTCATGATTTAATATTATAAACTCAACTATTCCAAAGAGGTAATCATGGGACTCAAAAATCATTAATATTGATTTGTTGTTTGTTTTTATACAATGTTCCAAACTTCATCTCCAAATGATGTTTTGAATAATATTGTGTGTAATAATATTGTATGATTATTGTATTACGTTTTGAATAATATTGAACATTATTTGACTTTCTTCACATAGTATTAAGTAGAATATTAAATTTTGCTAATTATTTCAAGAATTTAATTTATCCTTAATTCTTGTAATAGAATATTCATGCTCCTACCTCTGTGAAAATGTCTATGACAATCTTACCAAAATGCTAATATCATCATATATGAAATCATAACTTATCATTCCTGCATCTCTGTGTCATTAAGTATAACACATCACTCTATGTTGTCTCCCCTACTATCCTATGAATTCTAACAGAACAGGAATAAAATCTAGAAAATGAGTTTATGCTATAGCATGAGCATATGGTACACCAAAGACTTACCTTACAAACACTCCACCATGAGAATGTAGTCTGTGTCAAGAAAATTACTAGGTACTGAGAAATTAAGGAAATAGAAGCTCCTTGTCTTAAATGTTACATAATGTAGTTTCAAATAAGATTAAGCATTGAAGCTTAATAATACTGTTTCACAGTTCATGATGGACATAGAACTTATAGACTTGTGTGGAGTAAAGATGTCTTCTTGGGAGCATAATGCTGTCTCTATTTTTTAGGTACCGGGGATTAAACTCAGGGCTTTCACACTGGTCTACATTCTCAGCCCTTAGTGAGTCTGTTTTGAGTCAGGCCCTTTCTTAATCTCTAAGTCACTTCATGCTGCACCCAAACTTCTGATGATCCTCCCTCAGGCTCCCAGAGTGCCGAGATTAGAGATGCGGGCCACCATGCACATCTGAGAACATAACTCTTTCAGTAGGTCTAGAAAAATAAATCAAAGAAGCCAGATGTGATGTCTCAAGAAGCTGAAGCAAGAGGATCCCATGCCTGATGCTGGCCTGGACAGTTTAGTAACAGCTTAACTCAAAAATAACAATACAAAGGCTGGGGATGTAGTTCAGGGGTAAGCCATCACTGCATTTTATCACCAGCAAAGAAAAGAAAAGAAAAGAAAAGAAAAAGAATTTATAAAGAGTGTGGTCTAAGGGACTCAGAGTGTCTCTCTCAAGTGCTAAGACTATGGAGTACAATAATTAAATTACTAACTAAATGAAGCAAGAATCTTTTCTGAAATAGGATGTACATTTCATGGATGGTTAGGAGACAGAAACGAAAGGTGGAGAATTTGTCCACAGGGCAGTCTTTTACCTGTCTGATTGGTGATCTCATTCTCTGGGCAAGGGGTACAATCAAAACAACAGGCAGCCTTTCCTTCCTGCGGGGATTTCCTGAATCCAGGACGGCAACTCTCACTGCAGACAGAGTGTGGAGTCTGAGGAAAGTCAGATATGTGTTGGTAACTTCTTAAATATTTACTAAATCCTTTGCAACAATAGTGACAAATGTAATTTGTATAAATATATAAATGTAAAATTTTGTTTGAATGCCTTATTTATTTAATGATATAAAGTATGTGAATACTTACAAAAACATTGTTAATGAATGTGTTTCTGTCCCACTAACCAGAAAATGAGAAAGGAATGAAATATCTATTTGTTTGTTTATTTATTTATGTAAAATTTATTGATATAATTCATATATATATATATAAAATGATCATGTTCATCATAGGAAATTTGTACCTATATATGATATACCTAGATTCCTCTTTTTTTCCCAATGCCCTCCTCTCCTTTCAAACCCTCTTCCTCTCCTTATTTACAAAGATTTGTTTCTCTTTTATCCTTTTGATCATTTCTTGTCCCTTCCTTTCTTTCTCTCTCTCTGCTCCCTAGTCCTTATTTCATATATTTTGGTTCTTATTTATTCTTCTAGTTTCTGAAAACAGTGGAATAGATTAGAAGATGCACAAACAACTTCAAACACACTCAGTCACCTAATCTTTGACAAAGGAGCCAAACACTTTCACTGGAAGAAAGATATCCTCTTTAATAAATGGTACAGGAAAAACTGACTTTCCAAATGCCAAAGACTAAAACTAGACCCATGTCTCCCACCATGCACTAAATTAAAATAAAAATGGATCAAAAATTTAAATACAAAAGCAGGAACACTAAATCTGCAGGATTAAAATGTTTTTACCTTGGAAGTGCAATCATTATGTTTCCACATGTGCTCATTTATTGATCAAGAGTCTGGCACAAAATGTACAGCAAGATTTTGGTTATTTGTGTTTCACAAAATGCATCATGCTTAGTTCTAACTTACCTGTATAATTCCAGTGGCCCACTCTATCATGTCCTCAGAAAGAGACAATTGTAGCTTAAGTGGAGCATGAGGGGAAAATTCTCCTACTTTCACCCGAAGTCTAAGTCCTTCTGGGAAATTCCAAAAATTGAGAATGTCATACTTTACATCCATTTTATTTTTATTATCTAAATTTACTTGGTCTCCAGCAGGATTATTAAACTGCAATTTCTTCAGAAAGGGGTGCAGCTGAAAAAAATAAATAACTCTCTGATTAATTGGGCCTCCAAGTTAAGAAACAGAACTTAAAATGTAGTTATCTTGAATCCCTGTTTCATAACGATTCTTTTGAATAGATATCTAATGAAGTAGAACAAGAGAAAGCTAATGGAGGCTAAAATACCATAATCTTCATAAAATGTCAGTGTCCAAAGAATCTATTCCAACCAAGTCCGTCTAAATGCACAATGCAAACAAATACAAGCTTTTCAAAGCCACTTTTACTCTGCTTGTTTCCAAAGCATCTACCTAGAAAATGAAGTTATCAATACTAAGGTGATTGCAGAATTAAAGGCAAAATTCATATAAAATATTCACTAAAGTGTTTAGCATCATTCAGTTACACAAAAATATATGTTATTCTGTTCTTATTTAAAATCTGCATGTAAATTTTCTGATTTTTAAAAATTGAAATCATGATGTGGGCAGAACATTGGTATTTTTGGCACCAAAGCGAAGATTTTGGCTCATTTCCAGATCAAATTTTATCTCACCAATAAAACTAGCACAGAATTGCTTGTGTTTTCATGAAAGCATTTTTAACTGCTTGCTTTATGGCCCTGTGGATCCACTTTCAAAAGGGTTTTTATAACAAGGGAAGCAATGCAAGGAGAAAAACATTACCTGCCAGGGGGAAAGCTCCGTCGAGTCCCTATTTCTCACTGGTTTCATTTCAGCTTGCTGAAGGAGCATCTCTTGGAGGGCATGGGCCACGGCATACACAGCATTGTATGTGTTGTAACTCCCATCACTCAAGGCTGTGTCAAAGCGATTCACAGGCAGCCATTCCAGAGAGGCATTAGGTGCACAGTCCTTCACCGTACAGTCAGAATCTGATAACGAGCAGTGGAAATTCTGGAACCAATACAGAGTGAGGAAAGTATCTTCTGGGTATTTGGAGGGGTTAACTGTCTGCACAAAAGTCTGAAAACCCGAAATCTCCCCATGGTGTTGTGAAAATATGAGAGTTCCGTGGAAAGAATCAAATATGAAGTTTCTCCCAGTCGTGTCAGCATGCCATTGTGAATTTGTGATCCAGACTCTCCATGTCACTAAATGCAGCCCGATGTAATGGTTTACAGTATTGAGACTCTCAGTATCATAGTAAATGATAACTACATTTACCGGAGATGATTCCCTGGTGATGAAATCGTGGTGTTGTGTCATTGAGACATAGGACACAAGAACATTTGTGAGAATTTTAACAAATGCCACACAGACTCCATTCCTGTCCATCTCTTCTCTCACGTCTGAGAGAAACTGCACACCTTTCTTACCATCTGTAATGATGAGTCCTACCCAGGTCCAGCTGAAATGAAGAAGCAAGGAAGCCATGCCAATGGCCAGTGATGTGTCCTTTGGGGCAGTCTGATAGAGGGAAGGAAACTGGCCATTTTCATTAAACATAGGATCAAAAGAGTCAAAGGTAAGCTAAAAAAAAAAAAAACACAAAACAAACCAAAGGCAAAATAGACAGTTTAAGTAAGGCATAAACTGAGACTTGAAGGGTACTAAGAAACAGCTGGAAATAGTGTAAGGGAATATTTACCCTTCCCATCTTTGTGATTATCTCACTCCTAAAGCCTTATTTTTGAGAACACCTGATCATATTCTGAGTTCAAGAAAAATTCTTTCCTCCCACTCCTCATGCATGCAGATGGGTAATCCAACAATCTCTGCATTTACACTTTGGGATTATAGAAATTGGATGATACATGAACCCAGTCCTTTCATTTCATCAACTTTAGAAACCTGCAAAGGTCAACAAGTGTGACAAGAATTTATCCCTCCCTAGCACACGCACCCTCACCTGTGGAAATTTGTAGAGTTCTAGTAGCATTCCAGTTTGAGCACTGTTGGCCCATGATGTTCCTGTTATTAAAGCTACAGACTTGCTTTCTCTCCCACAGGTATAGTTGGGGATCACATCCTGTCCTGTGTGCAAAATGAAGAAACTCTCCAATAGCCTCCAATGATTATACAGTAAGTTATGGAACTCATACCCTAGAGATGTGTTGGGTAGAAGTTGAGGATTCGTGTTGATCTCTTCAATGGCATAAATGAAGGCTAGAGCATTCTGGTAGTTGGTGGGCACAAGCCTGAATGGAGAGGAAAGAAGTCCTTAGAGGAAAGAATCCATCCATGATACCATTCCATTCCAGAACCATACCACTTATGAATTAAAAGCTTGTGACTCCACCTGAAATTCAAAACCTGAGACCCTAAACCTGAATGTGATGGCATTAGAAATTTGGAGTGGGTGAGGTCACTAGTATTAGATAAGGTCATGGGGGTGGATTTCTCACAAATGAGTGTAATGTCCTAACACTGGGTCAGACCAAGTTCCATTTAGGCTTCTGTCATGGGAGGACATATCAAACTCCCTAAACCAACAAGCAGATGCCCCTTTAGTTTTTTTAACCTGAACAATTTTTGAATGTAAATAAGTTTTATTAGGACATGCAGCTTGTGGTACATTTTTATACAGGAATCTGAATTAAGATGATATTCTGAATCAAGATGAACACCAAGAAAATTTCATCTGTTTCTGGAGGAGCTGATTCTTAGGCGGTCTTAGAATTTCTACTAAAGAAAGTAACATAATGTAGGATCTGAGAGGTCCTTACTACCTTCTACTTGCATAGAGAAAAAAATGGTTCCATTCACAAAGGAAAATGTGAAGAATAAAAAACCATGTTACATTTAGGGTGGCTTTTGTAAATATTTTCCTGTATTAAGAACTAAAACAATTACTCTTTTTAGAACATCATAAAAGGATTCTTATTACATAACTTCATATCCACATGAAGTTGAAATACAGAGTAGAAGGAAGAACAATGCTAAATGAAGGGTCTAGAACATGCCAGTAGGTGATGTCTGTGGCATGAATGTGCTGCAGCAAAGGGCTGGCACTGCCTCCATCACAACTTGGGAAACTCCAGTCACCTTCAGAGATTCAAAAGAGAAAGAACCTTGAGAAGGCAAAGACATGTGGTATAAAAATGAAGAATTGACTGGAGTAAAAAATCTTAGGAAACCCAAAGGCAACATTGCATTGCTGTAACGGCATAGCCAATGAGAAAATTCCTCAGCTTGTGGGCTTGTAACAGCTGTTCCCTTAAGGCTGGAAAATTTAAAGAAAGTTCCACGATTGATCTGCTATCTTGCTCCCTCAGACCACAACTGCAGGCATAACTATGAAGAAATTCACCTGTAATATGTGATTGAGTAGCACATTTAAAGTAGTACAGTGTCATATGGTAAAGACTTTATCAGTATGAAGTAGCATATCCAATCACCTCTGTAAGATCAGTAACAGCAACCTCTTTCAAGCTTTAAACAAACAATTATATAAAAATAGTGCACATTAATGCTGGTGAATCACGTAGATATGGCCATAAACATGATTCCCTACTTACAAATCTCAAATGTTCCACTCTAAAAACCATTAATCATAATAAAAAAATCTATTAATAAAACTTTGCTTAATTTTTGACAAGCAAGTGAGTTATTAATTCTAACCAATTACTGAAATAGCCAAAAGAAAGTACTGGTAAGCTACAGAAATTCTGATCCAGTGATGCGTTAAATGAGCTGTCAGATTTGAAAGTCAGTTGGTTCCAATAGAAACACGTGCACAAATCCTAACTTACTACCAAAATAAGACTAATCGCTCCAGATCATGTGTAAATCAATGATAAGTCTGAAAAATTAACCTAGGTAGCAGACAAAGTCAAACCAGTGATGAGAAAGAAGTAGCCAAGAGCCACGCAGAGAGTGAGGAAAGAAAAAGAATTTAAAAGTTTAGTTCAAGAGAAAATATGTAAGCACTGCGTCTCTTGGCAGAGAAATGAACAGGAAGAACATGCGCACATGAATTGAGCCTTGGAAAAAGCCAAGGGGAAACAACAGACATCTATTTAACATAAGTTAGAATTAGGGACTGGAGATTACAGAGCAAGACCATGAAACGCATATGAAATACATCCATGGAAAAATAATCAACAGACCTGTTTCTATGGAAAGATAACTAAACAGGCATTGCTCAACAAATGCGTTAAGGAACAAAGTTAGAAGAAATAACTATTCAGAAAATTAGGTAAGCAAAAGAAGCTGCAGGCAAATTCATGTAGCAAAGTTGAAGTCCGTCATATTGATCTTTTTGGAAAACCCACTTATTAAAAGTGAAAATGTAATTATAGAAAGGGACCGAAATAAAAACAAAGGTGAAACTGTACTAATGTACAGGAAGAGTTTCAGCAGCATTCAAAGGAAATACAAATTTCAAGAAACAGTGGCCCTGAACTGGTTACAGATTTGTTGTATCTCAATTTAAAAAGAGACATTCACTGTACTAGGAAATTCTTTAGTAAAATCAAACAAAGGAAATAACTGTGTGCTTGTATGAAATTAATATGTTCTTGCTAAAAATATGAAAATATTTGTGGAAAAGATCATCATTAGGTATGTTACTAAACATTTCATACTCAGTTTTTTATTTTATCTCCTTTCTGGGGAGAAAAACAGTGTCCTTATTGGAGTATATTCAACATTTGGTACCAGCTAACACCCATTTGTGGTCAACTACATTAATTATGGAGAAATGTATCTTTTAATGTTGTGTTCTTGAAGCTAGAGAAAAAGTCTCTGTCCACATTCATCCATGTGGAAAGGAAAATTGGTGATGGATATGTCAAGTTCCTCTGTTTAATAACTTGAAAATGTAAATAAAATCAGATTATCATATTGAATACCATAAAAGTAGAATTAGTATTTGACAATTAAAGAAGAAAATCCTCTTTGTAGTGAAAATTTTTATTTTGTGTAAATAAAAAGAAATGAGTCACATTCAATGTGAGTGAAAGACAGGAACAGAAAGTCACCCAGTACCAAGAGCAGCAGTACCCTGAAGAGGACTCATTTCATCCCCTCTCACAGTACTAGTGTGAAGAAGCATAAAACACTGTGATGATGACTAGGATCTGCTTTGCATGTTGTGTGACAAAGGTATTTGAGGAAGCCTGCATCAGAAACATTACCAGTAAAGTACAAGCCGAGACAGTATCATTTATTTACACCAGAATTTCTTTCTCTTCTCTGTAGTTTTTAATTCATATGTGCAGTGAAACAGCAATGAAAATAAGAACTGAAGAAAAGAGGAGTATGACTATCTCATAAAAGGTAAGATTTTTCACCTCAGAAATCCCAGAAAATTATGAAAAGGACTTGTAATTCATAAAATATACAGCAGCAAAAGACTAAATAAGGATGAAGATCTCAAAGACTTTCCATTGTAAAATCAGTAACATAAACATTTATGGGGAAAGTATATGTGATATAAAAGATTTAAAAATACAGAAAATGAACAAAATCATAAAATTCTTTCAAGGAAGATGAAAGTGTAAGAATAGTGAATAGAAGTTAATATTGTATTCACCAAAAGTTTTGTCAAATTTCACACTACTCATTAAAAACTGAAGGATGGTTGTTTTTGGCAATGACAAAATACTTCAGAGATTTTTTGAAAAATGATTAGTCCCTGAAGTAGGTGAAAGTAATTCAGTATATGAGGAAAATAATTTAGAGGGAAAATT